GGGATTTCTGTGTGTTCTGTCCATGATGTACCGCCTGCTCCCTTGACAAATGGGAGGGGCCACACAGGTTGCTCACTAGGGATGCTGACAGCCACACCGGGTATTCCTGTGTCTATGTTTCCTGTCTGTGCCACCAGAGACATTTGCTGTGCAATGAACCTACATCAGTACTCTCCCCGTTAGGTATCTCTGGACAGAACTGTAAGTAATGTTAATTCACCCCCTCACATGTGCAAACCTACTGAAATTTACCCAAGTATTTTTTTTGAAAAATGCAACAGATTGGAGTTTATCTTGGAAGGGGACTTCCATCTGTGAAAACTGTCATTGGAAGAAAGAAGAACACTTTAAAATAAATCCACCAGCTGTATTGATAATGTTCTGGTGATATGAGGGCCTGAATATGATAGGACTATTTGTTAAATTAGTTCTACCATATGAGAGGGTAGCTGGCTTGTGAGTTTTTCATGTTTCTTGATAATGACTTTAAAAACCATTAAATGATAGTAGGATAACACTAATGTAGTTTCAAGCTGTAACTTTAAAATAAAAAGCAAAGAATAAATGTTCAAATTATCCGAAAATAACTTGCATAAATGGCACATGTTGTACCTTCGAACATGCTTTAAAAACCCCAGTGAGTAATAGAAAATTCAACACCTGCAAAATATCGGTGAGTTAATGGACTGAAGAACATTCAATGCCTCTCCTTTTGTGTTGATACACAAACAGCAAACATGTCCAGCACTTTTCTTTTTTTTCCTTTCAGATTTTTGTTTAAAGAACGGGTAAAAGTAGTGCTCATGCTTTTATACATAAAATGAGTCTTTGCGCAGATCTGGAATTTACTTTTCATCCCTCCTGACAGAGCCCTAAACATTTTTTTTTTTTTAAAAACACAGCCGAAGACTGAAATGCCTGCGACTGACTGAATAGCGTGAAGAACCCCGTTGAAGTGGGTCTGAGTTTTCTGGAAGGAGGCTGTTGGGGTATCTTTAGAGGACCCTTCTAAATTTAAATTGTACAGCCTTTACTTTTAGAAAGGCTTAAGAGCTCACAGAAGAGGAGTCTGACCTCTTGTTTCGACGGAGGACCCCACAAATCGTCCCACTTACTCTGGGACAAAAAGAAATGTATATATTGATCTGGAAGTTCTCGCAGTGGAGCTGGGGCGGCGCTGCCTTCCCGACAGGCATCGCTGGCTCGGCGCGCAGGCCCTTCGAGTCCCCGCTCGCTCAGCGCGGGCGCAGCCGGGTCTGAAACCGTGTCCGCGCAGTGCTGCGTGGCGGTGCCCTTCTTGCATCGGTGTCGTCGTGTCGTCATGTCATGTCGTCATGTCGTCTTTCCCTCCCGCGCCTGTCCTCTCCCTGTCTGAGAACTTGCAGGCCTCCTCTGCAGTAACCTCGCTAGGCAGGCCCTCGGCGCGCGTGCCCTTCCGTTACGAAGTGTCAATCCTCACCCTCGGGTCGGTGCTCACAGTTCTCTACGAGAAGGTGCAAGCACGTTCCCAAACCGGATCTTCTGATTGTCGTGTCCTAAGTGGGGAAGGAACAACGGGAGCCCACCTGCTGCGCGATCGTGCCAAGAGGGTGTCTGGAGACTCCCGACCACGCCCTTGCCTGTCGTTGCCCCCTCTGCGCCCTGTGACCAGGCTGGCCCTGCCGCAGCCCGCAGCGCCTTCCTGCCTGGGCACCGAGCATCCCGACGTCGGGGAGTGCGGGCTGGGCTGCTTAAAACACCTGCTACGGGGCGTCTTACTTACGAAACCCCCGGGACTGCTGGTTTTTAAACATTGCGTAGCTGCCTGCAATTTCATTTTGGTGTGAGGGTTAGTCTTGGAGTCGAGAGGGTGGAAGAGTCACTGAACAGCTAGCTTCATTGTCGCGAAGGTGCTGACCGCTGTAGACTGGCAGATCATGCGCCATAAATGTGATTTTAAGTGTTTTATTTGTTGTGCTTTAAAAAGAAACAGGCCTTGTTCTCTTCTCGTGTCATCATCTCATGTGCAGTCTTAAAACTCAGTTTGGGGCTTATAAACAGGAGCTACTCTTGAGGAAAGATCCCTAGGTCTTTAATTGGTTATATTCTTTCTGTGCTTTCCCCCCAAATATCCTGAAAGGTGAGCCACAATTGACATTTTCCCCTATGATAACATTTTATATTACAAGGACACTTTTCATTATGCAATAGGATTTTTGAGTCAGTGAGTCAGCCAGTAAATACCGTTAATCAATCACATCAAAGGTTCCTGAGATGTCCAGTAAGAAGAGGAAAAACACTGACAGTGAGTCTGAGGTTTTCTCCAGACACGGCCAGCTGCCTGGTTGTGGGGCCGAGAGGGGTCCAGGGTGCTCACGGAGGAGCCCGGGGGCGTTGCTTAGGAATAGACTGATTCCTTCCACGTTAGCTTTTGCTTTTCACGACTATTATTAAGTAAAATTGCCCAAGACTAGAAAATAAGGCCAAGTAAATGCTGGTATCATTTATGACTATCATACTAAATATTTTTTAAAAATAAATATGAGGTGACACCTAAGTATTAAGTTTTCTAGGAAAAATAACCCATGGTTCACTCTGCTATTTACTATTAATTAAAAGATTTGCATACAGCAGAGATGCAATGCATTTCTGTTTCGTAGAAAGATAATTCCGAAATTTATCTTGGAAGTATTTGTGAAGAATTCATGTAAACTGTTATTTAAATACTCTGTAGAAGTCACGTTATAAGCCATGTCAGCCTCAAATGCCCTTCAAGTCAGTTTTACTATTTTAATCATTCTTTATTTATTAATGAGTCAGATAAAATCTTTGACACATGCTCCTTTCATATGTGTAAGAGAGTTTTATGTTACCTTTTGAAAATTATGTGTTGACAGTCTGGTGCTTTATTACGGGCCCCTGTGGGTGACATTAATGAAGATGTAACAAAGACGGTGGAGAATGTGTCCAAATTTGTGGGAACAATCAGATCTTAATCTCTTGAATTAAGTAAAAAAGACTTTAAACTTATAATAACTTTCCATGATATTGTGTGAAAGATCAAAACTAATAGACCTATAACTGTATTTTGTAATCTATTAAGTTATTAACAATATGCTTCTGTATTAGCATGTTCCTTGGCTTTAAGAGGACAGAGACATGGCTTTGAACCCCAGCTCTGCAAGTCCTATGCTACGTGGTCCTTTGGCAAATTATTTAACCTTTCTACCTAGATTACCTTATTTATAAGTTTCAAAACACATTCTCCCTGTGTATTCAGAAAATATGCACTGAAGAACCATTTGTGTGTGTCACGTGACTGTTGGTTGCCAAGGAGACAAATGCAGTTGGACCATCATGAATGCTGTTGGAGCCATGCATTAAAATCTATTTTTAAATGTGTTATTCAGTTACAGAATGTCAGTTTGATTCTTTTAAAATAGATTGCGGTATTCTGGTTATGTGTTTAATTGTTTCTTCTATTTTGTTTGCCTTTTCTTTGCTGAATTTCCATCAAGATTAAGTTGAAGTATTTTTCTGCTTACTTCAGTTTCTGGATCATCTTGGGGGGGTCTGTCTCATCTACTTATTTTTTTCTCTGATTATGAGTCATTTAATTTTGTCTTTGTGCCTAAAAATTTTTGATTGAGTGCTGGACAGCTAAAGAATAAATAAAGAAAGGCCTGGCAAAATACTGGGAATGCAGCAGAATCAATAAATAGGAAAGTGATTTGACATCAGCAATCTGTAGTCTCTAATGATTTGTATTTACGGTTGGGTTATTCATGGGAGCAATGTGTGTGTTTTCAAAGACCTTCAAGAGTGTTTTAAACAAAGCCAAAGGTAAAATAAATGCATTAGCTTCATATTGTTAAGTACATTCTACCATTGCTTTTTAAAAATGTACTTTTAGAGTAGTTTCATATTTACAGGAACATGGTGAAAACAGCACAGAGAATCCCTGCATACACCTGCACCCGGTTTTCCCTATTATTAACATTACAGCACATTTGTTACAATTAATGCAACATTATTTATGTATTATTACCTACTAAGGTTACAGTATCTTTATTTCCTTAGTTTTTACCAAATTCCCATTTTCTGATCAAGGAATCGGTCCAGAATAACATACTACATTTAGTTCTCGTATCTCCTTAGGGTTCTTTTGACTGATACAATTTCTCAAATCATCCTTATTTTTGATGTGCTTGACAGTTTTGAGGATTACTGGTTAGGTCTAAATTTTACTTTTGATTAAAGGAAGAATAGCCCCCAAATAGCCAACTTCTTATTAATCCTTTAGTAAATAATGACAGAGTGGTACAATTTGTGGACACGTTGGTTTCTGAGACCTCTGTGTAAAAGGAGTGGATTCTGAGCTCGTTTGAGGGAGGCAGGTGTGCAGAAGGGAGATGCGCGAGGCGCCCCACCAGGGCCTCCGCCCGTGCTCCCGGGCTCCCGCGCAAGGGGTGGCATCTGGGCCTTTGCGCAGCAGAGTGCAGTTGTGGGGTGCTGACTGGCCGGAGTCCATGGTGCTGGGAATCCAGGGACACGCCAGGAGAACTAAGGGCAACGGGGCCCTGGCTGCTTCTAATGCCGGTAAATGAAAATGAACCAAAGTGTGCCCTTTTTTTGTTAAAGTTTGAAGATTTATATTTTAAGCTTGTTCAAGCAATAGACCTCACTTACTTTTTGTTAAAAACAAAAAGAATCTGTCGCAGGATATAGTGAGATGCCTTGAGAAGAAAGCTGTGACCGAACATTTATATTTTCAGTTTCCATTTTCCAAAATTGATTAATTGCTCCTTTGTTCGTATGCCATGCACTGACCGCTCTGAGGTGTCAGATCCTCTGCTAGTTACTGCGTGAGGGTTCCTGACGGTGAACAGTATTGTAAGCTTTGCATCTTCAATATGTCTTGATCTTCCCCCCGCTCACCTAACAGAAAAAAATCTAGGTCATAATTTGAGTGTTTTAAGGATACATTGTTTCATAAGAAAATTTTTATTTTATTTTGGCAGAACTATTATGGAGCTGCTAAGATGATTTTTTCAGACAACCCTCTCGGACTGACCTGTGGAATGGTGTGCCCGACCTCTGACCTTTGTGTAGGTGGCTGCAATTTATACGCCACTGAAGAGGGGCCGATTAATATTGGTGGACTGCAGCAGTTTGCCACTGAGGTAAGAGCTGCACGTTGCTTTCCCCCTTATTAGCATAAAGATGTTAAAGTAACCTGAATCCTTGATCTTTTGTTGATATCCAACATGTTTAGTGCGATACACAGCTAAAGTGTAGGAGGTATGTGCTTTGTGCCATAAACAGTATTTTTATTCACCAACTTGACTACAAAAAATGAAACTTTACAAAACCATATGTCAAACTAATTGCAATCCCAGAAGGTTATTAAAATACTTTGACTGAAAGTTACATAAATTAGAGGATCTTAAAATGGAATTTATTCATCCACTTTGCACCAGAGTGTCTAGAGCGGACCCTGTTGTGAAAAGGCAGTCTTGCTTAACAGGTTCTTTCCCCTGGAACTCTCTTTAATCTTCACAGCTTGAAATGACATGTCAGTATTATTCTGTAACATTTTATGAGTAATAGAGGTTATGGAACATTCGAACACCTGGAAACTGAATCACGTTCATTACCATTAGATGTTGGTAACTTGCACACGTGAAGGATGCACGTTTGGGCGCTGGTACATAATGGAATACAAGGGGAGCCTTTGCCCGGTTGATGTGATGAGTTTGGGCCGCGGCTCGCTCTCTCCTGGGGCCTTTGCAAGTGGCTTGGATGCTCTGGCACATCCTGGGCTCTGTGGGATCTCTCGCGGGGGCCCGGCCGCCAGGTCAGTTCGCGTGTATCATAAATGATCCACTTAGAGGGGCACGGCCAGGTTGTGTAACCCTTGGGGTCCAGTTTGCTCGAAGGCCAAATTAAGTGCCTGTCAACACCAGATGTTACGGAACGGCTTTCCCATCCGGGTTTGTCACCTTCAGCGCAACGCGTTCCTTCCTCGCAGGGCCCTTCCCGCAGCGTCCCTCACGCGGAAGCCCCGCTTTGCGCTCAGCAATAAATCAGGACTAGTCCCTTCCTGCGTCCTGACAGCTTAATTCTGAGGAAGGGCTCCTGGGAAAGAGAAAATTGAAACAATTTGAGGGAGTGAGTTGTTGCAATAAATTCTAGGATTTAATTTCTTTTCTTACCAAATTCAAAGTTGTATTAGGCTTCCCTGGCCAGTGCAAGGTATGATCTTTACAGCCTGAGAAAATCCTTAGTTGATGGAGAAGAGTCACTTGAATTCTCCCCCCATCTGTCTTTGGGGGCCCATCGTCTCTTCATTAAACCAGGGCAAGCTTGCCAGGATGTGGTAAGTGAAAGGCCACGCACTATGTATATGAACTAACACTGCATTTCAAAACAAAGTGAGTTGAAATGATATTGTTAGTTTTTCAGTGACCTGGGTGAGAGACAGACAGACAACATTCTTCTGAGAACTCTCTCTTGTTTTTTCTTTTTTAAAAGTTTTTATAGATTTATTTTTAGAGATGGTGAGGGAGGGGGAAAGAGGGAAAGGAACATTGATGTGTGGTTGCCTCTCTCACGCCCCCTGCTGGGGGACCTGGCCCGCTACCCAGGCACATGCCCTGACTGGGAGCCCAACGGGCGACCCTTTGGTCTGCAGGCTGGCGCGCAATCCACTGAGCCACACCAGCCAGGGTCTCTTGGTTTTAATGAGGTTACCACCACCCGCTTCCAAAACAAAGTCTGTTTGTTTAAGACACAGCATAGATTAGGATGGCATTAAAGGCACTTTAAGTGAATCATGGCATTTAGACTAAGACTATTTTCCTATTTCATTCCAATTATACTTTGTATAACTGTGGCTTCAAATATATCTATTAAATCATAAATAAAAATCTCCTAGGGAAATTATGTAGAATGGCTTTCCATTCATTCTTTTAAGTTGGCTGCTTAGGGGAAATTATTCCGGAAAGTTCTATGTTTTCTAAGTCAAAGGGTGGTGCACTTAAATTTACCTGACTGACAAGAAGATAAGCAAAACACAAACAATGTGCTAATTTACTGCCAGTGAAAAGAAGAAGTATAATGTACAAAATACTATCATTCTTTCAAACTATTGAACTATTGCTATGAGTACTTAAGTCAAAGCAGAACATGATGCAAATAGTCTCCTGTTTTGGTTGTTTGATAAAACAATGATTGATTTTTGACCTTTAAAGAAATATAAATCTATTTTTCAACCAAATTAAATAAAGGTTAGGAAAGCAGACTGAAGCAGCATGATATTTTTCAGAATTGCTTTTCCTATAACTTATCAGCGATTTTTAAAATATCAGCCCTGTAGTCTCCCAGTTGGGTTAAATCCACACCTTACTCTTCGCCTGTGCACACGGGCACGTGGTTTAGAGGGGCAGCGGGAGAGGGAAACGAACCGCCCAGAGGGCGGCCGGCAGGGCGGCCCGGGGGCCCGCTGCTGCTTTGGTCCCGTGTGCCGCTGCCGCTCAGCCCTCGCTGGCCCCGCGCCCGCGCAGTGGCCTTCCTTGATTGAGACGCTCGCGTGAGCCTCGGGGACACACAGGCCGTGGGCCGCCTCTCTCTGGGAGGCCGTTTCTCCTGCTTCAATCAGGTCTAACAGTGGTGCTGTAGTAAGGAAAGTTGGCAATAAAATATTAATAATAATATTTTGGTTTGGATTTTCCTATCAATTTCATGAGAGTTTTTACATTTCTCTACAGAGATCTAACGCTTGAAATTTTTATTTTAAAATGTGTTTGAGCCCTCACCGGTGTGGCTTAGTGGGTTGAGCATTGTCCCACAAAGCAAACAGTCGCCAGTTCGATTCCCGGTCAGGGCACGTGCCCGGGTTGCGGGTTCCGCCCGGATGGGGCACGCGCCAGAGTCAGTGATCGCTGTTTCTCTCTCACATTGATATTTCTCTCCTTTCTCGCTCTCTCAAGTTAATTACATAAAACATTTTAAAAATAATAAATAATGTGTGTTTGAGTAATTCAATTTTTAAGATATCATGTATTTATCACATTTAACAGATCAACTAGACTCTCATTGCCTCTCAAAATTAACTAATGAGTTGTTGCAAAAGGAGAATGATGTAAGAATAGACCATTTTACTCATTTCCTAAAGTTTGAAAAATAAGTATAAGTAGATAATTAGCTTCATGTCAAATCAGTTCTCTGCTGCTGATGTGAAAGAGTAATGGAGGCAATATAGACAAATTAAAGTACAACACCAGGGCCCCAGCCTTTGACTTGAAATGTTAGAATTAAGGAGGGCCAGGGGATCATTATTTAAAATTGTTGCCTCGATTATGAACTTTTAGGACTAACTACATTAGATTGGGAAATTGATGTCTAAACTAGTATTTATTTTTTTGCAATAAACACTTCCTGAGATTATTTTAATGTACACACCCTGACACTGTATGTTTAGTTTAGTTTTTATCCTTTTAGTGAAGAATGGAACTGACACGTGAAATTCCAGACTAAACCAGGTGATTCACTGAGAAGAGAATTACTCTCTAGGCTTTACATGAATTGTATCTCTCAGTAAGTTCTTTATATGACCTCTCATGTGACATTACCCAGTTCTTGTCCCAACATCATACCCTATTTATACACCATCATATACTATTTTCATTTATTTCTTTATTTTATTGAGTGAACACAGTTCACATCAATTCAGTCAGTACTTATAATACAACAAAATAGCACAACAATTCAACCAGTACTTAAAACACAATAAAAATACACTCTTATATTTACAATTACCCCAACACTTACATTTTGCTCCAACCCTGCAGTCATCAGATGGAAGGACCGTGAATGAAGAAGGAACATGCTCACGTGACTTGCTTTGTGAACAAATACTTTTTCTACCGTGTCCCTTTCGAACAAGGAGGCCACCGAGAGCCTTCAACTTTGGCCTTGTATGGGCATAGTCAAGGAGAACATAGACATATGTACATGGATAAATAGTAGAATAGTACAGGTACTCACTCCCCTGAATAATGTAGTTTTGTGATACATTCCCTCTCTCATAGAAAAGTGGGAACAAAGAAAGTAAGTGCAGTCCTCAAATTAAAACCAGTGTCAAAAAGGTGTGCATAAGCTGAAATGTGAGATAGAATATGCTCCAACTGTATGCTATGCTGGCTGCTTTATAAGTAGGATAATCAAACGAATGAGACACCTTGGAAAGAATGCTGTTAATAATTAACCCAGTGCACTGGACAAGCTGGTGTGAACACCCGGTGTGATAAGGTCCCACTGGGTAAGTATTCAATTAATCAAACGACCATTGATTGAGCATCGATTAGAACTAAGTGTTGTTGAAGGCTGCTTCTAAACTACAGGTCCTTAGACCCATTGTAGTTTCTCAGGAAGTGATAAAAGCCAACAACTGAAATTTCGTAGCAGACACAATAAGACATCCGAGCTTACATTAGCAGCCTTGGACTGATAATCCAATCTTCATTAATTTTTGTCACTTGGTGTTGGAGGTGATTATACCTTCCAAAGAAAAGGCTTGGGCAGGGGAAGTGCATCTACAGTGCACCTCTTGGCATCGGCTTCCACGCGTGTTCGTGGGATCTGACTGTAAGAAGTGGGTAAACAGCCCTGGAGACATGTCAGCTATGTGATGTATTCCCATTTTGGACATGAGGAAACTAGGGATCAAAGTGACTAAACAATCATAGTATAAACAAACTCCTGTTGCCCTGGAGGATGGTAGGCACTTAGAACTCAACTAATCCTCAAACTAGCCCTCTAGGTAAATACTACTCATTTTTGTGTCTAAGTAATAGAGGCCCCCTGCGTTCGTTAGCTTCCCTGAGTTGACCTCTGATAAGGGTGGATCTAATCTGTACGGCTTCTCCGATTCTCGCAGGCCCAGGTGCACGTCACCCATGCATGTTCAGCGGGCACCAGGATGTCTGGTGGCAGGTGCGTGGGATTCACCTGTGGGCTCAGCCACAGGGCCCTTGGCCATGTCCCTCGCAACTCACAGAGTGAGGCCACCAAGGCTCAGTTACTATGAGCTGAGGAGCGACTATTAAAATAGGCTGTCTGAGATGAACATGTAGGGCTTAGGCATTTTCTTGGTTTATGCATGTTACCCAGAAGCTTTTTT